GGCGCCATCCGCATTGACTCTGTCTCGGGGCCGGGATAGGGGCCGCCGGGCCTGGGCCCCTGCTTCGCCCACAAACTGTGCTGGAGGGGCCGCGCTGATGGATCCGATTCAGGTAAATGCTGCGCCCCCCGGGCCCTCAGCCAACTCTTCTTATTCTGCAGAATTTTTGTTCTTAGCAATATTCTCTTACAAGTGTCCTATATTTATATTTATTTGTCCCGCCAAACCTTGGCTTTCTGAATATTGAAATATTACCCGTGTAGAAAAAAATTGCAGAGAACTTCCCAGTGTAGTTGAATAAGCAGCTCTAAAATTGATATTCGGCCACTGCTCAAGTCAAGAAATGCGATATAAATAGGACCTTAGAAGCCGCCAGTGGGGTCCTTCAAAACGATTATCCCCATCCCCCCAAAGTTAAGGTATTGTCTGATGTTTTAAGTAAGCTTTTCTTTTTAAAAAATTTATTTATTAATTTTTGGCTGCATTGGGTCTGTGTTGCTGCGCGCGGGCTTTCTCTAGTTGCAGAGATGGGGGCTGCTCTTCGTTGCGGTGCGCGGGCTTCTCATTGCGGTGGCTTCTATTGTTGTGGAGCACGGGCTCTAGGCACGTGGGCTTCAGTAGTTGTGGCATGCGGTCTCAGTAGTTGTGGCGCACAGGCTTATTTGCTCCGTGGCACGTGGGATCTTCTCGGACTAAGGCTTGAACCCGTGTCCCCAGCGTTGGCAGGCGGATTCTTAACCACTGCAATGCCAGGGAAGCCACCTTCTTGCTATTCTTTTTTTTTTTAAATAAATTTATTTATTTATTTTTGGCTGTGTTGGGTCTTCGTTGTTACACGCAGACTTTCTCTAGTTGCGGCGAGCGGGGCCTACTTTTTGTTGCGGTGCGTGGGCTTCTCATTGGGTGGCTTCTCTTGCTGCGGAGCACGGGCTCTAGATGCGCGGGCTACAGTAGTTATGGCGTATGGTCTTAGTTGCTCCGCTGCATGTGGGATCTTTCTGGACCAGGGCTCGAATCCGTGTCCCCTGCATTGGCAGGCGGATTCTTAACCACTGCGCCATGAGGGAAGCCCTTGCTATTCTTGATACTTTTGCCAACTACGTGGAAATTATTCCACGACTGTAGTTTACCTTTGCTCAATTGTTTTAAAACTTTTTATGAATGGAATCAAGTAAATATTATGCTGTGTTTTCCTTCATTTGCAAAACATGGCGTGGCTTTACTCATGTTTTTCATAGCTGTCCGTTAATTTTTGTGAGTGTGTGCAGTATTCTTTACTATGGATATGTGAGTAAAATGTCCTTTGAAATTCTGCTGTTGAAGGCTTTTTTGTTTATTGTTTTGTTTTGCTTTGTTTTTTGGTCTGCTTTCTGTATTTTTTTTAACATCTTTATTGGAGTATAATTGCTTTACAGTGGTGTGTGCTTTCTGTATTGATAAACATTGCTACTGTAGTCATACCTGCCATGTCTTCTGGGGTATATCAAGCATACATTTGTCTAGGGTATATGTTAAAATTATTTTTATATTTAAATGAACATTTCCACTTTTTGATCTTGTTTTGCTCCATGTTACTAATTTTAACTTAGGTCTTTGAATGAGATGATTCTACTTAATCTATTCCATAGTTACATTTTTTAAAGGAATAGTTTATTTATTTATTTTGGCTGCACTGGGTCTTAGTTGCAGCATGCATGATCTTCATTGCGGACTCTTCCTTGTGGCATGTGGACTGTTAGTTGTGGCATGTGGACTCCTTAGTTGTGACAGGTAGAATTCTATGTTGTGGCATGTGAACTCTTAGTTGCGGCACACATGTGGGATCTAGTTCCTTGACCAGGGATCAAACCTGGGCCCCTGCATTGGGAGCGCTTTACCCACTGGACCACCAGGGAAGTCCCCCATAGTTACATTTTGATACACACTTATTATGTATTAGGTAAACTTACAGTTTTACATTGTATGTCCACTTAGAGAGTTTGTGCTTTTTCAGTGATTGTACTCATAATAATATTTATTTTACTGTTAAGTTTTCTTACTCTGGTGGTATTGGAAGAGAAAATGATTAAGAAATATCTTGTTAAAATACTTGTTTAAAGGGGGACAAAGTGAATCATTGTGAGGGTGATAAGTTATAAGGCTTCAAATCCCTTTCAAGACGTTTAGAAAGCAAGAAGATATTTCCATAGAGGATGGAATAGAGGTCAGGTCCTATAACTTGTTTCCTTTCTCTTAAGATTATTTTTTTTTACTTTACTTTTTTCCCCACCATGCTGCTTGCGGGATCTTACTTCCCAGACCAGGGATCAAACCTGCGTCCTTGGCAGTGAAAGCACGGAGTCCTAATCACTGGTTTGCCAGGGAATTCCCCTCTCTTAAGTTTAAAGTATCAGAAATGACAACCAGTTATCCCAAACTGCAGAAGGGCAAGCACTTTTACTCTGATTCTAGCAACAACCCCTTTATCACAGATTCACTTTGGATGTGAAGCCAGTAAGCGGTAGTTCCATTCTCTATCGCATGTGAAAAAAGCATTTAGGAAATTACAAATAATTTCTGAACATTTGTGGGGGAAAAAACATGGATATATCAAAGAATAGAAATAAATGAAAAAAGTACATGTTCTTGAATCCTATTATGTAATGTTATAATAATTTCAAATCAGAACTTAATCTATGGATTATGTAAGTTGGGATTTTATATAAAACAATTTTTAACATAACCAAAGGAAAATTTGAAAAGGAAATATAAATACTCCTGGTCAGCTGTTATGGCCAACTACAAGCCACAAGAAGAGAAAAATGTGTTATTGGCAAGGGAGAGACAGAATAAGGGAATCAAATGCAAGTGTCAGAAACAGCTGTACATAAAATCAGTCTTAATTTTGATATCTGTGGCTTAGGGCTATAATAGTGTTATATATCCTGGCACAACCATTTCTTTGCCAACATGATCCTGTATTCTTTTTTCTCATTGGGCTCCAGTCACACTGTCCTCATAGATGGTAGTCAAACATGCCAGAGGTGACTCTGACAAAGAGTCTTTGCACTTGTGTTTACCACTTCTGGAAAGCCTTTTCTCAGGATATCCTCATGACTTTATGGCACAACTCCAAAATACTTTCTGCCCTCTTTTACATGCTTTTTTTTCCCCTTAAGTATTTGCCTTTGCCTGAAATATTAAATGTTCACTCATTAATCTTCTTTTTTGTCTGTGTTGCTGATAAGAATTAATATTACATGGCCCTGGTCTTCCCACAGATTCCACACTCAACAGAATCACTTATGAACCCTGCACCAGTGAGTGTAGGTGTCCTGAAAGTATTTTGCTGTCACTCTTACTGGACTTGGTGGCTGTAGACCCTAGAGAAACCCTCAGCCCAGGTTTCCAAGTCCAGGCCAGAGGTTATATGGAGAGATTCCCATTTTTGGCAGCCAATGGACTGAGATGTGAAAGGTTGTCTTAGGTACGGGAGTAGTACGTACAAATGTTTGAGGATGAGATTGAGATGGGAGTGTTTTAGGACTTGTAGGTCTCTGTTAATGTCTGGTGAGAACAGAGAACAAGGGGGCCAGAGTCAGGCCTAGGATGGTAGCCTGAGAAGTTGGGTTTTTGTTCTGAGAATGTTGGCAGATATGGAATTTTTGGAACAGGGGGGAAAAGTGATGTGACTTAAATTTTAAGAGATTACCTCTGGCTGCGGTGTGCATAGCAGACTCGGGGGGAGGAAGACAAGGAGATAATCAAGGAGGCTCTTGTAATCATCTAGAAGCACATTTGTTGTGCCTGGACGAGAGTGACAGATGTGGAGGTAAGAAATACTTGGCTTCTGGATTTGTTTCTTAAGTAGAGGTGGACCAGATTTTCTAATGTGGAGAGCTCACAGATGACTCCAAGTTTTTTTCCCTTTGCATCTGGAAGGAGGTATGTGCCATGAACTGGGATGGGGAAGTCAGTGGTAGGAGTCATTTTCAGTGAGAATATTAGGAATTGGGTTTTGGCTGTGTTGAGTCTCAAAAGTTCCATTGACTCCCAGGTATAGGAGACAACCGGCTGAACATGCAGCGCTAGAGTGCTGGGGGAGGCTTCAGGATGCCCTTATGGGACAAAGGAAGAGACTTGGGCTGTCACAAAGAATTACAAGAGCAGTGAACATCAGCGGGAAGGTAGGGGTTAGGGAAAGTCCAGCGGGTGGCCCAGGTTTTTATGGGGGAGTGGCCATGAAATTAATGCAGAGGGAAAGCAGTAATGGAGGTGAAGTGATAGCAAAGTCAGGCTGGTGCTTATTTCTCCTCCTATGCACTCACCAGCCTTTTGTGGTGGAACTTGGGGAGTTTCTGTCACAATGTCAGATGAGTTTTACCTAAGGTGTGTCAAGTGTGTGTGGATTTTGAATGGGTGTTATATGGACAAAGATTGTAACTGTTGAAGAAACATAACTTGCAATATAAAAGTGGAACCTGACCAGGCGTATTTAGATCTGCATGTTTTGACTGAGGTTAAAGTTAGGAACAAGGCCTGGTGGAGAAGCCTTCAGAACAGGGCTGGGGAACCGCCAGTGGAGAGTTGGGGTACAGCGGGATCCTGTTGCATTGGCAGGAACTTTCTGATGCTGTGTGCAGAAGGGTATATGAGGAGGCAGGAGACATGCCAGTTTTGTGGGCCGGGTGGTGGTGATGGGGATCAGATGAATGAGGAGTTAGCCACTGAGTAATACGCATGTGGGGAAGGTGTGTGACCAAATTGCCCCAGAGCCCTCATACCAGGAGTTTAAGAGAGGACGATGAGCCCAAGTTTGTTTGTATCTAGGAGACATGATCCTGGGGACTCTCAGGCTGTTGTCTTGCTGGAGAGGGAGGGAGCCCTGAATACCAGGCCAACAGCTTAGATAGCATCTATCTGTCCACCTACCTGTTGTTGCTGAGAGTTGTATCTAGTGCTCAAGGAAGTACAAAGAGTTTTTGGGTACCACTGCCTTTTAAGTTAGGGACCTGTGGAGCATGATGAACCCAGAGTGAGTATGGGTTAGGGGTACTTATGGGGTCCTGGGGAGAGAGGCTGCTTATGTACACATCTGTCCCCGTCATCACAGGGCTCTGTGACCTTTGAGGACGTGGCTGTGTACTTTTCCCAGGAGGAATGGAGGCTTCTTGATGAGGCCCAGAGACTCCTGTACCGTGATGTGATCCTGGAGACCTTTGCACTTGTTGCGTCATTGGGTAAGGCCCTCACACCAATCCCGGCATCCTGGGCAGGTCTCTGCCTTTCCCCTTTTTTCCAAGGACAACTCTGTTCTTTTCACAGCTAGACAGTGACCACATCTCTATTACTGCTTCCTTGTCAGCTGTGCTGTGGGTGCCAAGCCTGAGTGAGTGTGTATACAATCTCCTTTCAGAAGTATCCCCAATACCAGATGCTCTGAAGTTTTTTCAGCGAAGGTTTTCTGGGTCAAATGACTTGGAATTAGTTCAGTGGGTTCCATTAGTCTCAGCCACTCCCTGTTAAGTTGACTCTGTAGACACATACACCACCCTGCTCCAGGCTCTGCCCTCTAGCTAACATTTCCTGGGGCCTCACTATTTCAGGAATTGTTGGGACTCAATGTGGTCACTGTTTGTGGGGTCCACTTGGCTGTTGCTGTGAGACCCTCCTCAAAGATTTTTTTTGTGATATTATTTTTCTTTCCTGAGGTTGTTTTGGGATTGGTTGTCCCCCTAGGCCAGTACTGACTGCTCACCTGTCATGTCTTTCACTTAGGACTTGCATTTTCTAGGTCCCATGTTGTTTTCCAGTTGGAGCTGGGAGGTGAACCCTGGGTACATGACAGAGTGGACATGACTCCAGGCACAGCTAGAGAGACCCAAAGTGGGAACCACCTTGGTGATTGGCATCAGGAGGAGGAAGTGATATCATGGCTGGGTTCAGATCATATCAGGAACACGCCCTGTTCCCCACAATGTTTTAGGGCCAAGACCAATGACTGTGTACCTCATTTCTATCCTTCCTACCCATTCTTGATACTTTGCTCCTTCTGTCATTTCAACTCTGAATTTGAACCCAGGATTATCCCTCACCTCTCTGTCTTCCACTCTTTATTGGTCTTCTCCATCATCACTCTGATGTGCTCTCCAATATTGGCCTATATTAACATGTCATGAGTTCACCACGTATCCTTAAAATAGTTCTTGAACACTACCTACTCAGTGACAGTCAGATTTTCCTGAGCCTGGACAAACCTTTCCACACAGCACATGTGGCACCAGCAGCCAAGGCCCTGGTGAAAACCACTCCCAGAGGAGTGAGTTGTGGACCCCAGCTCCTCTGTGTGTTCCACCCCATCCTGTGTCTTTCACCTGGTGAGTCATCCATGTTCTGTGACATGTAGAGGCCCAATACTGCACAGCAGTCCTTTCATAACCTGCCCCAGCTCTCTTGTCCTTAAAATAGTCCCATGGGTTTATTCGTTTCTATGTCAGCCACATATTTGTAATGGGGCTGCATCCTTCTACCAAAATCTACATGAAGTTCACCCACATTTCTCTGCTTTCAGGGTGTTGGCATAGAGCAGAGGATGAGGAGACACCTTCTGAGCAGAAAGTTTCTGTAGAAGTGCCACAAATAAATACTTCAAAGACAGACCTGTCCACACTGAAGTCCTATCCCTGGCAGAGGTTCTGCCTGTACTTAGAAGGTGGTTTGCATCTAGCTGAGGACCTTGGCACAAACCATGGTCAGAAACTGTGTGGGGCAGGTGTGAACTTTCACCAGCACAGTGGAGAGGAACACTTTAGAAGACATGTGGGTAAGACCTTTATGAAGAGCCACACAGTCCATGCATACAAGAAGTCTTTCACATGCCAGGAGCCTGGGAAGGATTTCCCTGGTACCTCTGGCCTTCTCCAGCACCAGGTCACTCTACAAAAGGACACCAAGTGTGTAGAGCCCTCTCACAATGGACAAAGGCAGTATAAATGCCACGAATGTGGGAAACCCTTCTGCCAGAAGTCCAGGCTTGCTCAGCAACAGAGAGTCCACACTGGAGAGAGACCTGATGAATGTGATGAATGTGAGAAAGCCTTTGGCTGTAAACACATACTTGTTCAGCACCGGAGTGTCCACACTAGAGAAAAGCCTTATGGGTGCAGCGAATGTGGGAAAGCTTTTAGCGACAAACACACACTTGTTCGGCACCAGCGAATTCACACTGGAGAAAGGCCTTACAAATGCAGTGAATGTGGGAAAGCCTTCTGCCGCAAATACAGACTTGCTCAGCACCAGAGAGTCCACACTGGAGAGAGGCCTTATGAGTGCTGCGAATGTGGGAAAACCTTCACCCATAAACCCATACTATTTAAGCACCAGAGAATCCACACTGGAGAAAGGCCTTATAAGTGTAGTGAATGTGGTAAAGTCTTTAGATGCAACTCCAGTCTCATTACTCATAGGAGAATTCACACGGGGGAAAGGCCTTATGAGTGTAGAGAATGTGGGAAGTTCTTTAGCCAAAGCTCTCAACTTATTGTGCACCAGAGAATTCACACTGGAGCCAAGCCTTATGAGTGCAGTGAATGTGGGAAAACCTTCACCACTAAAAGCAAACTTGTTCAGCACCAGAGAGTCCACACAGGAGAAAGGCCTTATGAATGTGGAGAATGCAAGAGAGCCTTCAGCTGTAAACGGATGCTTGTTCAGCACCAGAGAATCCACACTGGAGAGAGGCCTTATGAGTGCAGTGAATGTGGGAAAGTCTTTAGGTACATTTCCAGCCTCATTAAACATAGAAGAATTCACACTGGGGAAAGGCCTTATGAGTGTAGTGAATGTGGAAAGTTCTTTAGGCAAAGCTCCCACCTTAAAGTCCACCAGAGAATTCACACTATAGCAAACACTTATGAGTGCAGTGAATGTGGGAAACATTTTAGCCAAAACTCTATTCTCACTACGCACCAGAGAGTTCACACTGGAGCAAAGGCTTATAAGTGCAGTGAATGTGGGAAACGTTTTAGCCAAAGCTCTACTCTTATTAAGCACCAGAGTTCACATTGGAGAAAAACCACGAGTGCACTAAATGTGGCGATTTCTTCAGCCAAAACTCCCAGCTTACTCAACACCAAAAACTTCATGCTACAGAAAGGCATTGCCAGTACAGCAAATGTGGAAAATTTTTCTGTCAAAGTCTGCTCTGACTGAGCACCAGAAACTTAACAGCCCAGATGGACCCTATGAGCACAGTGAATGTAAGAAAGCTTTCAGCTGAAGGTCTAACCTCATTCGTCACCAGAAAGTTCCTACTGGAGAAAGGCTTCAAATGAGATGAGAGCAGCGAATGAGCTGTCTCCTTAGTTAATACATCATACGGAATAGGCTCTGTGAGGGAGTCATCAACTGGAATTTGAACACCATACATCTAAACAGCTCTAGTGTGCAGATTGCCTATGAGTACCAGGTTTGTAGGGAGCTTTTAAGGAGCTATGCTGTACTTTCTGACTTAATGTCACTGTGAGTTTCTTACCTCACCCAAGTGGTAGATCCCCATTCTTGGCACCAGTCACCTCAGTGTGATCAGGGTAGGTAGATCCTTGTGCTCTCTTATCCCCTTAGAAATGCATGAATAGCCTGAGCACTTGGGTGTTGTCATTCTCTTTGGTCCTGCCAGGACCAAGGCAGCTTTGACCAATGGAATCCAGTCTCGGTTCTGCTGGTGGCTCACAATTTATTTGGTGGCATTGTCTCATAACATGCTCAGGATAGGTTTTTCAAGGTCTAAGTCACTCTGGGAACTATTTGCCTCAGTTTGCTCTGCTCTATACCATAATGAAGACTATTACTTAAGCCACCTTTCATCTTGGGGTTTGTTCACTGTCAGACTGGTGTTGAGAACCAAATTGGACTGTCAGGATGATGAGGAACTGGTTTTGTGAGTGTTCCAAACTTCGTATACCTCAATGAGGATAGTATCATGGCAGAGAATAGTTTTCACTCCAGTTTTGGGCCAATCTGTTGTCCAAGGCCTCCTAGGGTAGACTGTGGGACTAATGTTGAATTCTGGATGTCAGAATTTTTGGTGGGTCCTGAGGTCACCTGAGATGAGGACAGTTGTGAGAACCACCAGTGATTTTTGGAGCAGCATGAATGGTTCTCTTTTTCACATGGGATGTCACATCATGCCCCCAGTACTGTTCAAGAGAAGAAATTCTCTAGGTCCAGCTGGAAAAGAGCCATGTGCCATAATGTGCCCAAAGTTGTAGACTGGTGTTCCTGAGTGTTAGATTACAGGCATCAGGTGGGAACCATATTTCATACAGAAACACTCATGGAATTAATAGGGAGTGAGAGACAAGGAAACAAGCAGGGATGAGCCTTTTCTAAAGTTTCATCCACAAATGTTCCAGTGACTGTGTCACTTTAGGATAAAGTGTTTGAAGAAATTCTCAGGAGTTCCAGAGCTGTTCCTCTCCTCCTGAGCCCCCAGTCAGTGTCAGACCGAATAATGTAAAGGTTTTAGGAATCAGCATCTGCAAATAATTTATCTCAAGGCCATTGCTGCACAGTGAAAGCAATGAGGAATGAGAGTGGAAATTGGGTAGTCTAGGCATGTGAATTTTAGTACCCAGTCAGAGTTCCTGGATAACTTAAGTGGAAAGAACTTTCACTGCTCACCAGTCTTCTTTGCTACTGCTACAGATTCCCTCCCATGGGCAAGGGGAGGTGATGGGGTTAATGTGAGGTTGCCAGAGTTCTACTGAAAAGGAGATTCAGCAAAAAGATTAAGATTTTTATTTGAAGCCAATTTCTATTGAAATTTATTTAGCTGTATAGTTGGTATGCACTGAACAGAACATACCTAAAATGCACAGCTTGGTAAGTTTTAGTACTTGTAAAGCCACGGAACCATCATCATAACAAACATCTGTCACTGCCATATCTACTTTCTGACATCTCTCTCAGGACTTTCAGGCAACTACTATTGACTGACTTTTCTCCCATTTCAATTAGTTAGTGTTTTCTAGACTTTTAATATTATTGGAGCCTTAATGTTTACTTTTGTGTTTGTCTTTTTTTATCTCCATGCATAGTTACTTTGAGAATCATCTAAGTTGCCAATGTGAATAATTCATTTTTTTCATGATAATATACTGTTTGGATATACCATTACTTCACTGGTATTCATCTGTTAAAGGATGGCATTTTGTGGTTTCCAGTTTGTCTCACAGATAAGCTTACTATTAATGTACATAAAATCCTTTATATGAGCACATGGTTTCATTCTAAAATGAATGACTGTACCCAAATGCATTCCCATTGACAGTATGGGAACATTCCAGTTCCCTTGTGTTCCTCACCAGTACTTGGTTGGTATGGTCAGTAGTTTGAATATTTACTGTTTTAAAAGCATGGAGACATATCTCACTGTGGTGTGACTGCATTTCCCTAATGATTCATGATGTTGAACATTTTTGTGTTCATTTGCCAAGTGTATGTCTTCTTTGACAAAATGTCTGTTTTCATATTAGTAACTGAGAAGTTAATAAATGTGTTGGAATTTGACTTTTCTTCGGTGACTTTGCTGGGTGGAATAGGTATTTGTACTCAACATTATTACTACATATACTCATTATTAAGATAATTCTATTACTTTAAGCCTAGACACTTAATAAAAAAGCCAACCAACACTTCATTGTAGTGTTTGCCAATTTCCCAACTGTGGGCAATTTCAAGCTGTGTGTATGAGGTTATTACTTAACTGGAGGCACAGCAAGCCAAACGCTGAGATGCCAAAGTTTGCTGGGGAGTATTTTCATTCACAAGGCAGCCAAGTGAGGACACAGAAGAACAATTCTCAGATCCACCCTCCCGGTGGCAAGGTGCCTTTTATATTTAGGGGATAAAGAGGCAGGGTGGTCTTAAGTGTGGGGAAAGGCCAATCAGAGTTAGAAAAAAGGTGAGGTAATTGGTGTGTACAGGTGTGTTTCATTACATGCTTCTTCACAATGCATGTTCAAAAGTGGTGTCCATAAGTGGACAAGGTCACCGGCTCTACTCTTTTCTGAGGGAACCAGAGAAGCAACAAATTGTCCCCCTGCTTCTGGCCGCCCCACATTTCTCCTTTGTGTTGTCCACCATGGCCCTGTCTGGACCCTGACCTAACACAGTGAAACTCATAAATTGAGTCTAAAGCTTTAGCTTACATCCATTGGAAGAGCAATAAAACAGTGTTAGACCCCAGCTCTGGATGGATGCACTTTGTGTCTGAGTGACAACCTGGTATCATCTGCCCATTTGGTTTTGTAGGTTTGGGGAACATGTCATATACTATATCCGTGTACCTCTCTGTGATCATCAAAGACTACATGAAAATCTGGTGCGTCCCTTTTAAAAAGCATGAAACCTCGCCCCCTTCCTCAGAGCCTCACTCCCAGCAACCCTGGCGGAGAGGCGGCACCTTTCCTGGAGGAGGGGAGCACCGCCCCTTGCCAGGTCCTGGAGGCCTGTGAACTACATTACCCTGAAGGCTCTGCGCCCGTTCCTCGGCGCCCCTGGACCAATAAAGGCTCAATAAAGAGGCACTTCCGAGCTAGAGGACTGCGTCTGGGCGGCTTTTCCGGCGTCTGCTGTGGTCGTCATTTTGTAAACTCGGATGTGTTCAAAGGTGGGGAACTTAGCAACGCAGGGCCGGCCCGAGTCAGGGAGTCAGGAAGGCGCTGTGCCCGCTGCTCTGAGCTTAGTCTGAGGCTCGGCGTGATTGCTCTTTGGCCTGACTCTCGGGGCCGGGAGGGGCGCCCGTGCTCGGGCCCCACCTTCGTCCACAAATTCTAGCGACGGCGACAGCCCAGATGTGTCGGATTCAGGTAAATGCTGCGTCATCCTGGCCCTCACCCAACTCTTCTCATTCAGCAGTGTTTTATTTTATCTGTGTTCTCTTACCAGTGTTCTATAGTTATTTTTATTTTCCAAAACCTTGGTTTTCCGGATTTTCAAATATGACCTGCGTGGAAAAAGAAAATTGCAGAGAACTTCATTGTGCATTTCAGTAAGCTCTAATATCCGTTCACCGCTCAGGTCAAAAACTGCGATATAAATAGGACCCCCAGAAGCCGCCTGCGGGGTTCTTCCAAAACAATTATCCGCATCCCCCCAAAATGAATGTACTGGCTGATGTTTCAAGTAAGCATTTTCTTTCTTTTCTTGATAGTTTTGCCAACCATGTGGGAAATATTTGATGATTCTAGTTTTGCTCGCTTGTTTTAAAATTTTTTATGAATTGAATCATGTAAGAATTCTGTGTTTTTCTTCATTTACACAATATGGTGTTATTTTACCCATGTTTTTCGTGAGTATCCATTCATTTTTCTTTCTATGAAGTATTTTATAGATATTACTATATGATTAAAATGTTTTTATAGATCCTCTTCTTAAAGGCTTTTCTTTGTTTATGGTTTTTGGTTTGCTTTTTTGTTTGGTCTGCTTTCGTATTTATAAACTTCGTACTGCAGTCATATCTGCTATGTGTTCTGGGGTATATAAAGAATGCACTTGTCTAGTGTGTATATTAAAGTTACTATTATATTTAAATGAACATTCCCACTTTTTGATCTTGTTTAGCTTCAAGTTACTAATTTTAACTTAGTTCTTTGAATGAGATGATTATACTTAGTCTTAATCTATCCCATAGTTGTATTTTCATATACACTCATTGTGCATTAGGTAAACTTAACAGTTTTACAGTATACAGGCACTTAGAGGGTTTTTGCTTTTTCAGTGATTTTACTCTTCTAATATTATTTATTTTACTGTTACATCATCGTTCTCTGGTGGTATTGGAAGAGAAAATGATTAAGACATCTTGTTAAAATCCTTTTTTTAAGGGGGATAAAATGAACCATGGTAAGGTTAAAAAGTTATAATGCTGGGAATCCCTATCAGGATGTTTAGAACCCAAGAACCCATGTTTATATAATGAGGGTGCAGTAAAGGTCAGGTCCTGTAGATTGTTTCCTTTGTCTTAAGTTTAAAGAGTTATCAATGATGTCCAGTTATCTCAAACTACTCTGATTCTAACCACAACCTCTTTATCACAAATTAATTTTCTGGTGCCATTTCCTTCTTGTTGCTCCCTCTCTCTCCCTCTTTTTTTGGCTGTACCATGCGGCTTGCAGGGATCTTAGTTCCCTGACCAGTAATCATACCCTTACCCATGGCAGTGAAAGCACCAGGTGAACTGGGTTTCAGCCATGTTGAGTCTCAGATGTTCCAGTGACTCCCAAATATAGGAGAAAAGTGGACAGCTGAACATGCAGTGCTAGAGTGCTGGGGAAGGCTTCAGGATGCCATTAGGCAACAAGGGAAGAGAGGGGGCTGTCACAAAGACAGGCAAGAGGAGTGGTCATCAGCGGAAAGGTAGGGGGTAGGGAAAGTCCAGCAGGTGGCCCAGGTTTTTATGGGAGACTGGCCATGAAATTGATGCAGAGGTAAGGCATAAATGGAGGTGAAGTAATAGCAAAGTCAGGTTGGTGCTTATTTCTTTTCCTATGCACTCACCAGGATTTTATGGTAGAACTTGGGGAGTTTCTCACGTCAGATGAGTTTACCTAAGGTGTGTCAAGTGGGTGTGGATTTTGAATGGGTGTTATGTGGGCAAAGATTGTAACTGGTGAAGAGACATAATGTGCTATATGGAAATGAACCTGACCGGGCGTATTTAGATCTGCATGTTGTGACTGAGGTAGAAGTCAGGAACGAGGCCTAGTGGAAATGCCTTCAGAAGAGGGCTAGGGAACCGGCAGTGGAAAGTTGCGGTACAGTGAGATCCTGTTGCATTGGCAGGCACTTTCTGTTGCCGTTTGCAGAAGGGTATGTGAGGAGGCAGGAGACATGCCAATTTTGTGGGCCGGGTGGTGGTGATGGGGATCAGATGTATGAGGAGGTCCACTGAGTAATATGTATGTGGGGAAGGTGTATGAAGTAATTGCCCCAGGCCCTAGTACTAGGAGTATAAGAGAGAAGGATGGGGCTAAGTTTGCTTGTGTCTGGGAGACATGATAGTGGGTACATTCAAGCTGTTGTCTTGGAGGAAAGGGAAAGGGCCCTGCATACCAGGCTCACAGATTACATGGTATCTATCTGTCCACCTGCCTGTTGTTGCTCAGGGTTGTACATACTGATCGAGGAAGCAGGAAGAGTTATTGGGCCCCACTGCCCTCTAAGTCATGGAGCTGGGGTGGATGGTGAACCCAGAGTGAGTACGGGCTTGGGTTAAAAGTACTTATGGGGTCCTGGGGAGAGAGGCTGCTTATGTACAAATCTGTCCCATCATCACAGGGCCCTGTGACCTTTGAGGACGTGGCTGTGTACTTTTCCCTGGAAGAATGGAAGCTTCTTGATGAGGCCCAGAGACTCCTGTACCGTGATGTGTTGCTGGAGACCTTTGTACTTGTTGCATCATTGGGTAAGACCCTCACACCTATCCCAGAATCCTGAGCTGCTCCCTGCCTTTCTTTCTTTTTCCAAGGGGAAGTCTGCTCTTTTCACAGCTAGACAGTGGGCACATCTCTATTAATGCTTCCTTGTCATCTGTGCTGTAAGTGCCAAGGCTGGGTGAGTGTGTAGACTGCCTCCTTTCACAAGGAGCCCCAATACCACCTGCTCTGATGTTTGTTCAGTGAAGATTTTCTGCTTCAAAAACTTGGAATTTGTTTAGTGGATTCCATAATTCTCAGCCACTCCCAGCTACGTTGACTCTATAGGCCCATGCCACCTCTGTGCTCCAGCTTCTGTCCTCTTTTAGGTGACATTTCCTGGGCCCTGAGTGTACCAGGCATTGTTGTGAACCAACATGGTCACTATTTGTGGGGTCCACTAGGCTGTTTCTATGATACCCTCCTCAACGAGTGTTTTTGTGACATTATTTTTCTTTCCTGAGGTTTTTTTGGGGGGATTGGTTGTTCCCCTGGCCAGTACTGACCACTCACCTGTGCTATCTTTCCCTCAGAAGTTGCATCTTTTAGGTTCCATGTTGTTCTCCAACTGGAGCTGGGAGGAGAACCCTGGGTACGTGAGAGAGTGGACATGACTCCAACCCCAGCTACGGGGGCTCAGAGTGGGCCTGGCCCTGGTGATTGGCATCAGGGGGAGGAAGTGATACCATGGCTGGGTTCAGATCATATCAGGCACATGTCCTGTGCTGAACACTGTTTGGTGCCAAGGACAGTGACTGTTTTTCTCATATCTATCTTTCCTATTCATGATACTTTGCTCCTTCTTTCATTTCTACTCTGACTTTCAACCCAGGATTACCCCTCACCTCTCTGTCTTCCACTCCTTATTGGACCTTTCCATCCTCACTCTGCTGTGCTCTCCAATATTGGCCTACACTTAATGTGTCATGAGATCTGCACCTATTTATAAAATACTCCTTTTATACCAGCTACTCAGTGACAGTCGGATTTTCCTGGTCCAGGATACAGCTTTCCACACAGCACACAAGTGTCACCAGCAACCAAGGCCTGTCAAAACTGTTTCTAGAAGAGTGAGTTGTGGGCCCCTGGCTCCTGCGTGAGCTCCCATCACCCTTGTGTCTTTTGCCTGGTTAGTCCTCCCTGTTCTGTGACATGGAGAGGCACAGTGCTGCACAGAGGCCCTTTCCTTAACATGCTGCCAGCTCCCTTGTCCAGAAAATAGTCCCATGGATTTATTTCTTGGTACATCACACACATATTTGTGATGGGGCCGCCTCCTTCTTCCAAAATCTACATGAAGTTCATCCATATGTCTGTGCTTTCAGGTTGTTGGCATGGAGCAGAGCACAAGGAGATAAATTCTGAGCAGAATGTTTCTGCAGAAGTGCCACAGATAGATACTTCAAAGACAGACCTGTCCATCCGGAAGTCCTATCCCTGGGAGAGGTGCTGCCTGGTCTTAGACAGTAGTTTGTGTGTAGCTGAAGACCTGGGAACAATTTCTGGCCAGAAACTGTGTGTGTCAGGTGTGAAATTTCACCAGCACAGTGGAGGGAAACTCTTTAGAAGAGACATGGGTAAGACCTTTATGAGGAGCCACATAGTCCATGCATCCAAGAACTCTTTCACATGCCAGGAGGCTGGGAAGGATTTCCCTGGTAGCTCTAGCCTTCTCCAGCACCAGGTCACTCCACAAAAGGACGCCAAGTGTTCAGAGGCCTTTTACAATGGACATAGCCTCTATAAATACTATGTATGTGAGAAAGCCTTCAGCTGCAAACACAAACTGGCTCATCACCCGAGTGTCCACACTGGAAAGAGGCCTTACAAATGCAGTGAATGTGGGAAAACCTTCAGCTTTAAAGGAATACTTGTTAAGCACCAGAGGATCCACACTAGAGAAAGGCCTTATGAGTGCTGTGAGTGTGGGAAAGCCTTCAGCTGGAAAAGCTCACTCGTTCAGCACCAGAGAGTCCACACCAGAGAATGGCCTTATAAGTGCAGCGAATGTGGGAAAGCCTACAAACACAAAAATTCACTTGTTAAGCACCAGAGAGTCCACACTGGAGAATGGCCTTATAAGTGCAGTGAATGTGGAAAAGCCTTCAGACACAAAAAGTCACTTGTTCACCAGAGAGTCCACACTGGAGAACAGCCTTATAAGTGCAGTGAATGTGGGAAAGGCTTCAGACACAAAAAGTCATTTGTTGAGCACCAGAGACTCCATGTTGGAGAACTGCTTTATAAGTGCTGTGAATGTGGGAAAGCCTTTATTTCTAAAGTAAACCTTTGTCGTCACCAGAGAGTCCACACTGGAGAAAGGCCTTATGAATGCAGTGAATGTGGAAAAACCTTCATTTATAAAGACAGTCTTGTTCGGCACTGGAGAGTCCACACTGGAGAAAGGCCTTATGAGTGCAGTGAATGTGGAAAAGCCTTTAGCCGCAAAGACTCACTTGTTAAGCACCAGAGACTCCACAGTGGAAAATAGCCTTATAAGTATAGTGAATGTGGGGAAACTTTTTTTTATATATATATTTATTGATTGGTTGATTGATTTAGCTGTGCTGGGTCTTAGTTGCAGCACCCAGGATCTTTGATCTTTGTTGCGGCATGCAGGATCTTTAGTTGAGGCGTCTTTAGTTGAAGCCCCTGGGAAAACTTTTAAATAGCAACCCACTCACACTTGTTTGGCACCAGTGAATTCATATTGGAGAAAGGCCTTCTGAGCACAGTGAAAGGGGAAGTTGTTTAGCCAAATCTCCAACCTTATTGTACACCAGAGAATTCACACTGGAGCAAAGACTTCTGAGGGCAGTGAGTGTGGGAAGTGATTTAGCCAAACTGCTCTCATTTTACACAAGAGAGTTTACACTGGGGAAAGGCCTTATAAGTGCATTGAATATGGGAAACATTTTAGTCAATACTCCATTGTCATTAAGCACCAGAATTCACACTGGAGAGGAAAACCATATGAGTGCACTGTATGTGGAGGATTCTTCAGCCAAAACTCCCAGCTTACTCAACACCAAAAAGTTCACGCTACAGAAAGGCATTGCCAGTACAGCAAATGTGGAAAATTTTTCTGTCAGAGCCTGCTCTGACTGAGCACCAGAAACTTAACAGCCCAGATGGATCCTGTGAGCACAGTGAACGTAAGAAAGCTTTCAGCTGAAGGTCTAACCTCATTCGTCACCAGAAAGTTCCTACTGGAGAAAGGCCTTCAAATGAGATGAGGAGAGCAGTGAATGAGCTGTCTCCTTAGTTAATACATCATACTGAATAGGCTCTGTGAGGGACTTATCATCTGGAAGTTGAATGCCATACATCTGAACAGCCCTAGTGTGCAGATTGCCTATAAGTTCCAGGTTCATAGGAAGCTTTTAAGGAGCTATGCTCTACTTCTGACCTGTGCAGGGCCCTTGCCATACTTAATGTCACTGTGAGTTTCTTATCTCTACTAAGTGGCAGATCCCAATACTGGGAATCAGTCACCTCAGTGTGATCAGGGTAGGTTGGCTTTTGTGCTCTCCTATCCCTTGTAGAAAAGCATGGATACCCTGAGCACTTGGGTTTTGTCATCCTCTTAGTTCCTGTCAACTGCCTATGACAGGACCAAAGCAGCTTTGATCATGGGGATCCAGTCCAGTTTCTCCTGGTGGCTCACAGTGGTTTGCCACCTTTGGTGGAATTGTCTAATACCATGCTAATGGTGGATTTTATTTAGGTCCATGTCACCCTGTTTGGGAATTATCTGCCTCAGTTTTTCTCCTCTATGCCATAATAAAAACTATTATTTAAGCCACCTTTCATCTTGGGGTTTGTTCACTGTTAGACTGATGTTGAGAACCAAATTGGACTGTCAGGATGAAGAGGAACAGGTTTTGTGGGTGTTCCAAAGTTTGTATACCTCACTGGGGATAGTATCATGGTGGAGAATAGTTCTCACTAATTTGAATTGTTGTTGAAGGTTTCCTGGGGTAGACTGCAGGTCTGTGTGGGACTAATGTTGTGACCTGGATGTCAGAATTTTTGGTGGGTCCTGAGATCACCCTGCAATGAGGACAGTTGTAAGAACCACCAGTGATTTTTGGAGCAGTATGAATGGTTCTCTTTTTCACATGGGATGTCACATCTTGCCTCCAGTACTGTTCAAGAGAAGAAGTTCTCTAGGTCCAGCTGGAAAAGTGCCATGTGCCATAATGTCCACGTGTGGTATGATGTCTGCAATGTGGTAGGCTGGTGTTCATGAGTGTTAGATTACAGATATCAGGAGGGAACCATATTTGGTACAGAAGCACTCTGGGAATTAATAGGATGTGAGAGACTAGCAACAAGAAGGGATGAGCCTTTTCTAAAGCTGCATCCACGAATGTTCCCATGACTGGCTGTTTAGGATAAGGTTTTTGCAGAAATTCTCAGGAGCTAAGAGCTATTTCTCTTCCCCTGAGCCCCCAGTCTGTGTCAGACTGAATAACGTAAAGGTTTTAGGATTCCTATAGCATCTGCAAATTGTTTATCTGAAGTCCACTGCTGCACAGTGAAGACAATGGGGAATGAGAGTGGAAATCATGTAGTTCAGGCATGTGAATTTTAGGACCCAGGCAGAGTTCCTGGATAACTTAAGTGGAAACACGTTTTATTGCTCGCCAGTCTTTTTTTTTTTTTTTTTTTTTTTTTTGCGGTATGTGGGCCTCTCACTGTTGTGGCCTCTCCCGTTGCGGAGCACAGGGTCCGGACGCAGAGGCTCAGCGGCCATGGCTCACGGGTCCAGCCGCTCCACGGTATGTGGGATCTTCCTGGACCGGGGCACAAACCCGTGTCCCCTGCATTGGCAGGCAGACTCTCAACCACTGCACCACCAGGGAAGCCCACTCGCCAGTCTTCATTGCTGCTGTGACAGAATCCTCTCATGAGAGTAGGAGAGGTGACGGAATTGAGCTGTGATTGCCACAGTTTTACTGAAAAGAGATTCAGAAAATAGGTTCAGATTTTTATGTGAAACCAATTCCTATTGCAATTTAATTGAGCTGTATAGTTTGTATGCATTGAAATGAACATACCTAAAATGTACAGCTTGGTAAACTTTAATACTTCTAAAGCCATGGAATCATTATCATAATAACAAACATCCATCATTCCCATATCAACTTCTGACATCTCTCCCAGGACTCTCAGGTAGCTAGTATTGATTTACTTTTTTTTTTTTTTCCCCAGCTATGCTGCACAGCTTGTGTGATCTTAGTTCCCCAACCAGGGATTATACCTTGGCTGTGGCAGTGAAAGCACAGATTTCCAATCCCTGGACTGCCAGGGAAGTCCTTTGATTTACTTTTTTCCCATTCAATTAGGTAGTGTTTTTTAGATTTTTAATATCACTGTGATCTTAATGTTTACTTTTGTATTTGTTTTCTTCTTTCACAATGCATAATTATATTGAGAATCATCATGAAGAGACCGTTTTTTCAATATCTGAAAAATGTACTGTTTAAATATACCACCATTTGACTGTTTATCCATCTTTCTGTTAAAGGATGAGGTTTTGTGGTTTGTTTCCAGTTTGGCTATCACAGATAAGCTTACTATGAACCTGTACATAAAATTCTTTATATGAACATAGGGATTCTTATTCTAAAGGAATGACTGTACCCATTTGCATTCCCATCGGCAGTATGGGAGCATTCCAGTTCCCCTATATTCCTCACCAGAACTAGGTTGGTATGGTCTGTATTTTTAATATTATCTGTTTTAAAAGTGTGGAGATGTATCTCACTGTGGTCTGATTGCATTTCCCTAGTGATTCATGATGTTGAACATTTTTGTGTTCATTTGTCAGGTGTATGTCTTCTTTTTAGTAAGTAAGAAGACAATAAATGTGTTGGAACTTGACTTTTCTTCAGTGACTTTGCTGGGTGGAATAAATGTTTCTGCTATTCACAACATTACTCACCATGTGTATTCCTCATTATTAGCATAGTCTCCATTACTTTAAGTCTAGACAGTTAGTAAAAAGAAAAAAAACCCAGCCAACCCTTGATTATTGCATTTGCCAATTTCCCTGGTATAAATGCTCCAACTCTGGGTAGTTTCAAGCTGTTAATATGAGGTTGTTACCAAACCGGAGTCAGAGCAAGCCAAGTGAAACCTCTGAGCTTCCCACAGTGAGACCATGGGCACTGCTTCCTTTCCTGGTTTCCTGGCATGTGTCATTCGTGCCAGCGCTGGGCTCTGTGCACTGTATTCCTTCTCTCCCAGCAGTCCCATCCCTGCTGCTCTGAGGTCTTATAAGACAGGGCTCAGGAGTCAGAAATCTTGATGTTTGTGTGAAAGATCCCACCAGCCTTCCCTGTCTGTGGTTGGGTGACTCTGTCCAGAGGCATGGAACCTTGGTGTCCCAGGCCTTCCACTGTCCTTTGCTGACAGACTTTGGGGCCCGCTTATGCCAGGATGTTCACATACTGACCTGGTCACTACTTGAGGGGACCACTGGCTTGTTTCTTTTAAGACCTTCCTTTAATGTCCTTATAATTTTAGAATGTGTGATCTCATGGGACGGGGCCCACTCCCTTTCCCTGTCTTTCGCTTTGACTGGCCTCCTCAGGCCCAGGTGGTTTCTAACCTTGAGCAATAGGAGGGCCCTTGGTGCCTGACAGGGTGGATGTTTTTCCTGCAGCATCAAGGGAGGCTGAAAGGAACGTGGGCCCTCGTGCATGGGGGTGAGGAAATGGTGAGGTATCAGAACTGGATTCCCATCACACCAGGCCTGTGTCCTATAACCACCAGTGTGTGGTACCAGCGACAGAGTCTAAGAGTTTCTACCTTTACTTTCTTGTTGATGTTTTTGTTTTGTTTTGTTTTATAAGTTTATTTTAGTTTATTTATTTTTGGCTGTGTTGGGTCTTTGCCGCTGCGTGCGGGCTTTCTCTAGCTGGCGGCGAGTGGGGGCTACTCTTCATTGCAGTGCACTGGCTTCTCATTGTGGTGGCTTCTCATTGCAGAGCATGGGCTCTAGGCGTGTGGGCTTCAGTAGTTGTGGCATGCGGGCTTTAGAGCACAGGCTTAGTAGTTATGGAGCACGGGCTTAGTTGCTCTGCGGCATGTGGGATCTTCCAGGACCAGGGATCGAACCCAGGTCCCCTGCATTGACAGGCGGGTTCTCAACCACTGCGCCATCAGGGAAGCCCGCTGTTGATGCTTTCACTCTTCACTTCTGGCCCTGGTTCTCACCCATTCCCTTCCACTGCTCCCTTTGCAGTGCTGTCAACATTGACCTGCACTTAAAGTGTTGGGATATGTGCATGTGTCCTTAAATACTCCTTGTAGCCCAGCTGCTGTGATGCATTCAGACATTCTGGGTCTGGACACAGCCTTCTACGCATTGCTCACCAGTCACCAGTAGTCAGGCTTTGTTGAAAGGTAAGTTGAAGACCCTTCCTCGTGTTCTTACCCATCGTCTGTGCTCTGCCATCAGATGAGCTTCCCAGGCTCAGC